CATCGGCAGCCCTGATGATGTCCACGCACTCAGTTTGGAAGACTGTATTGTGGGTCCCTAGTGCTACTGAGACATGTATTATTAAGGTCCTCAGGATTGCCCGTGCCACCGTTCCTGTCTTAGTTTTGGAGCTGTCAATGAAAATCCTGAGTTCTTTATGTAGACATGTGTCTAGTACATCCTCGTAAAGTTGTATTCTGTATTTCTTTCAAATACATACCGTTTAGGAATTAGGTCATTTACTGCCTTCAAGAACGGGTATTCAACTTCGATGCCTTTTATTATGTCCATGTGTGGTATATTTTGCCCTTTCCAGAGCTTTAGCGCCTGCAGTCGTGTGGCCGCACATGCTGCCTCCTGTTGTATATATAGATGTACAGGTCTTACGTTCAGAATGGTCACTAGTGCTGCTGTGGGAATGGTCCTCATACTGCCAAATATCACACGATAGAATCGTCCTTGAAAGCTTTTCAGTTTGTCCTTTGTTGTTTTGGTCCATCATACTATCGCCGCATAGCTAATGATGGGCCTTATTACAGTCATATATGTATAGCCATTTATTTATGTACGGGGACATGCCCCAGTTCTTTCCTAGCATTTTTCGGCATTGCCAGTAGATGACGCATGTGGTAGCGATTTATGGAGTTATATAACTTTTAAAGTAAATTAACGTAAAGAAACATAATAAAAACTTACCTAAACCCATAGACAGATTGCGATTATCATTTGTATTTGTAAAGCTGTCTCTTTCGTTTGACAAATTTCAATGAATGTTAAGTTAACGACATCGCTCATTCAATATATTTGAAAAATAACCGTCGCCGCAATCGTTACCACATATTAAACAGTTGTAGGGTTAATTTTCTGAATATCATTCAATTTTTAAATTGAAAAGCTATGATATAGATTTTAATTATACCCCCATATTGCTGTCAACGCTCTGTTTTCCAGTCCCTAGTCGCAATTCGCCATGGTTCATCAGAGAATCTTCTACTTCCTAGATCTCGCAAGAGCTTCACCTCTAACCCTCTCTGGGCACAAACAAGTTCATGGTATATTAAAACGGGCAAGCTATTACTATGTATCTCCAATGTTAGATAAATATAGTTCCAACACTATATTATCTACAACAATTAGTATACGTTTACGGCAACGGTGTAAATCAACAGATAACAATGTTTACAATTTTACACATTCATGATAACATGGTCAGTTATAATGAAAACAGTGGGACAACGAACGATTAGAACATAATTATAATTTTAAAAAATTGAACGAAAATCATCGCAAAATTATCCCTTTCAATGTTTATGATAGCGATTTATGGAATTATGTTACGTTCGCAATCACTTTTAGAACGAATGATAATTTTAATCATCAAGAAATATAACAAAAACTTACGTCGAAAAATTGCAGTTAGCATTAAACTTTTTCTTTTGTCATTTCCTAATAGTTTCCAAAGATATTTGCATCTAACTTACCTTAAAATTAAAAATGTCTTTCAAAAAAACGTCGCGACAGCAATCTCTATTACATGTCATTTGACGTAATATGTGTAGTATTTGTAGCGTGAAGTTGCGTGGCACCTGCTCTAATACATCATGCAGGTGGGATTCGAAACCGTAATATTTCGCAACCCGGGCGTCTGCTCTAAGATAAAATCCTAAGATAATTTAAAATTTTCATTTACTACTAAAATACTCTTACCTTTATGTACTTGTATTTCTTTCCACGAATTAATGTGAAAGCTTTTTATTAATCATATTATACAAAATAAAAAATATATGTTTTTTATTCTGAGTTAAATCTAAATCATAACTTGGATAAGAATCGACAAAACAATAAACAAACTATACTGAAATATATTTGTAAACTTTCTTAATAAAGTGGTACATATTTTTTTTTGATCAAACCGACATCATATTACATATATTTTAAAGTAAAACAACATTCTGATTTATTACTTTTGTTATTATTGTCATTATTTGTACAAGTATTTTCTAAATACGAAATAATTTAGGACTACTGAAATTGCTCCTTAAATTTAAATTGTTCTTGAGGTCTACTATATCCGTAACGACCCAATGTACGCACGGTACGCAACGGATTGTACGGGTTTGCCCCATGTATTTACGCACTCGGAATAAACACCAGTTAACAGTTAACCTCCCGTTTAAAATTACACTCTGGTGCACTAGCAATGTCAATAAAAATAGACAATAACTTGCCCAATTTAAATTAAGAAAAATATTACATTAATCAAATAAATAATTTATTAAATAAAAAGCAAATACTCGTTACCTACATTTTAAAGCAGTGTCCTCCCCTCCTAATTTGCTGTGGACGACGAGCTCCATAATGATACTTTTATTTTATAACATCTTAATACTATATTGTGGAATGTAATAAAAAATTAATAAATATACGTCCTCTGCATCCGGATTTTCAATTGAACACTTTTTGACAGTTTTGACATAACTACGAACTAATGTATAGTATCCGCTTAACGACGTCGGCACGCATGGCATTCTCTTTGATCAAATAATCAAATACAAACCTATGGAAAATCCCTTGCGTACCATGCGTCCGTTGCGTGCGTGCGTAGTAGATATTTACCTTTATAGGATTATTTATTTTATTTTCAATGAGTCCAGCAAATCCGCGATCTACTTGCAAGTTAGCTTGAATTACTTTTAGGCTTGTTATTTTATTTTTAAAAAATACTTAGAAAGTAATTTCAGTTTTCCATATAAATGATACTTTTCGATATTTGTATACTATTCTCTACTTATTCGTAGTTTCTAATATTATTCTGTGAACCCGTCTTTCAGATAGAATATCCAAATGCTGAAAATAATAAAACCTGCCAGATAAAGAGCCTGAGTCGGCTTTACGTGACGTCTAGTTGACTATGTTAATCCCGCTCGTGTTACGAACAAATATTTTAGCACATTCACAGATAACTCTTTATTTTTTTAAATAATAGAAGGTTGAATGGTTTGTTGGAAACTGTTTATGGTAATGACATTTTCTTATTGAAACTGGCACGAGACAAAAATGATTTCTTATTCAAATTCAAAGTTAAAAATGTCTTCATTAAAAATAATGGCATCTTTTTATTATAATTTGCTCTTTAAATTTTAAAGTAGGAATCTTGTTTTCGGCATAAAGACACAGCTCAGGTGTCTTCATCCCGCGCTATGCGCTACACCCGTTGTTGCTACAACACAACTTTGTTATCATATGTAGATAGATAGATAATTAATTTATTCCCATCGCAAAATGAACATACATACATTATAAATTCACATGGCTGTGATTTCTTTGCCTTTACCCAAAGAACTAGCGCAGTCTCCGCAATAACTCCATTTTCATCAAAATGATAGTATATATAATAGATAATTGTGTACTTACTAGGAAACTTAATGATGAATGAGTAAAAATATATAAAGTATTTTGTTGACCAATTACATCTATAAAAACATAATGTGTATATATTTTTGGATATGTAATTTGTACTACAAGTCTATTATATTCCAATACAGTTCAATAATCATTGAATTGTAAAGTTCGACTGTCAACTTGAAGTCCTTTAAATTATTGATTATCCCAGGTCAGGGTTCGGTGCACGAGATAATGTCTATAAGGATACAAATTGACAGTGGTATGACATTAATTGTTTACTTATCTAATAGTATGAAGATAGCTGGCGTAAATAAACACAACCAAGACCTTGGATAAATTAAACTGAGTTTATGTTCACCAGTCGTTTAATAAAACATTTCATTTTAATTTAAAACTGACAATAATAAAGTAGCTTAGAGGACGTTATATAATCTAAGGCTTAAGGTGTATCGCGCATTCTCGCCAATCAAATTAGGTATATAATTGAATGCGTGACGTGATTTATCTCGCAGTTGATGCGTGTGGAGCTTAAATTCCATTATCTCTGTAACTAATGAACCGATTACATAAGATAATTCATATAAGTATACCATTTGTATATTATTAAGGACATAGTTCACATGTACATTTGCAAAAAATACTTCAATTGAATAAAACCTTTTCAAAAAGGTTTTATTTGATTGAACCTCTACTTAGTGACAGAGCCCGTCGTTAAGTTCTAAGCTGTTTTTATAACAGAATAGCATCCTTTTCTCTTATTGAGTTGTGTTATATATATGATTGTAATATAGCATACTTTATTCGTAATCAATCGTATTTTATAAAATTTTATTGCAATGTCTTTTTCAGAGTTGAAATATATTTTATATAATACCATTTTACCTACACTGAAAGCAGAGTTTAGTTAGGTATAGAATTACTTCTTTCCTTCCCGTTTGCGCCAATAAAATACCAAGTGGTTTTGAAAAGCAATGCTATTTTATGACTAATCAATAAGTTTTTCTTAATGTGTAAATCGAAACGATCAAAGCTCATTAAAAATAATTGTTAATATAACAAAATATTATTCAGACTCCAAATAAAACCAAAGACATTTACTCAGTCTAGATTGTTACTAGCACATGTGAAAGTCAAAACTATTTTCTATCAGTTCGTAAATCTACTACGGGAGACCTCGTACCGAGAAGAACTGGCAAAAACGCAGTGAGGGCTGCTTTCTTCTCAAAGTAGATATGTATATATTATTATTACTGAGTCTTCTTCAATTTTTTAAGATATAATTTTATGCTCATATAAGACGACAAAATAATAATTTCTTTATGAAAATTTAATATACATATACTACTTAAAAATGACTCAGAAAATAACAAATATTGAAGAGCTTCTCAATACAAAAACAATTAATTATATGAAATTTTCTTTTTTTTCAGGTTCCATATAAACAAATTAAATAATTTTCACTAAAGTTTAACTCAAAATATTAACTTATCTATTCATGGAATTTTTTGCTACATAAACAATACTGTATAGATGAAGTAATTCATGTTCTGTTTAAGTTTAATTAAAAACAAAATTAAACATTTTTGAAATTTCAGGTCCGCAACGCCACCGCGGTCTTCATTATGAACTTGTCCTGTTCCGATCTGCTATTTTGCTGCTTCAATCTACCTCTGGCGGCTTCAACATTCTGGCGGAGATCTTGGGCACATGGCAGAATCCTCTGCCGAATGTTCCCACTTGCGAGATACGCTCTAGTTGCCGTCTCCCTGTTTACTGTACTAGCTATAACCATCAACAGATATGTAATGATATCGCACCCAAGTCTATATCCGAGGTAATATTATTTCCTTATCCAAATATTTAACTTGGAATGGTTTTACGATTATTCTTAAACAAGTCTTTTTGTTTACAGATTATATAAGAGTCGATTTTTAGCTGTCATGGTAGCAAGCACATGGTTATTTTCTTTCGGAGCATTAATAGCAACGTGGTTAGAAAAATGGGGTCGCTTTGGCTTAGACCCAACAATAGGATCGTGCTCTATACTGCCCGACAAAAATAACAAATCTCCAAAAGAGTTCCTCTTTGTAGGAGCGTTCATGTTACCCTGTTTAGCTATAGTTATATGTTACGCTAGAATATTCTGCATAGTAAGAGAAGCTGCGAGAAAGTCGAGGGCCCCCGCTAGAGGGCGACCACGACCAGGACTCGAAGACTCGGCCGTTGGCTCAGCGTCGACCGCTTTAGAAAGATCTCCAGGTCCTGAAAATGGAACAAATCACGTTGCACCACCACGCAGGGCACTTCTCGCTCCACCGGCTTTACATTGTCCACCTACACCTGGCCCAGAGAGATCATCGTCATCCGGTGTGGACACTCTAGATGGCCACGACGAAGAATGCGCTCTAGATGCAAAACCTCGAACTCCCTGCGGCGGTGATACTGCTAAAAGACTTCGACAAGCAGCAGTTGTACTAAAAAGATCACCCGCTTCTGTTAGACCACCACGGCTAACACCGAAAGATAGAAAGTTGTTAAAGATGATAATGGCTATCATGCTTTCTTTTTGGGTGTGTTACTTGCCTATAACTTTAACGAAGATATTTAGAGAATTCACATCACATCCAGCAGCAAATATAGCAGGGTATATATTGATATACTTAACGACATGCATCAATCCAATTATTTACGTGGTGATGTCTAGTGAATACCGTCAAGCGTACAAGAATCTATTAATGTGCAGGAGATGGGCGTGACGTTCGTCCGGCGATGGCGCGTCTGAAAAGCGCCCGCCGTGACTAGTGGTCAATGATGGAACATCTTGAGTGATATGTGAAGATAAACACAGCTTTCTCAAGCTAAAAACGTTCGATTTGTGACTGTCATTAGTGTTTACAAGAGACTACCTTAATTAATGTAACGTTATATTGAAATATAATACCGTGTAATAGTTTGATCGAGAACCGTCCGTGTGAGTGCTGCTAATAGAGGATGCGAGATAATTATTAGAATTTTGTATTATAAATATAAAATAACGACAACAAAGGTTTAACTGATGTATACTTAGCATTTATAATGATAACATTTGCGCAATCTCGTTATTTATTACTCTACGTAGGTGTAACTGTAGACTGTTGTACTTTAACGGATAAAATATTATTGTAAGTAAACTAAATTATCAACTTTGAAAAACGTTACTCAGGTTTCGTGATAACATGATATTTGTCTATTGATATAATGATTACCGTCACCATAATTTTATAAAGAATAATGTCTTCTGTAATGGCTTAGCAATAAAGTGGTAAGGACCAAGGAGAATGGTACAATAAAGTAGGAGAGCAATAAATTTAGTTATTTAATAAAAATGTGAAAAAGCGCTATTGACCAAGCAGTCTGCCGCACTTATCAGTACTACGTCCGCTCACACGTAAATTGAATCATAGACCATTAAGGAAAAATCATAATAAACAGTAATCACAGCAAACCCAACGGAGCGTTTGGACTAATTCATTTGTAGAGGGTTTTCTGTTGTCATATGACGTGATTGAGGAGTGACCGGTGATTCGGAAATGGGTGATTTATTGAACTCTACGAATGTGTCTTTTGTGAACGTTAACAATAGTGTTTTGGGTTTGTACGAGTATGGATCAGACAAGGCGCTGGCAGCCGTCCAGCTGTTCACCGACTACCCTGAGGCGCTTCTACAATTTGCCGGCGCGTGCTGCGTGCTGTTTATGCTTGTCGGTATTCCCGGCAACTTGATTACCATCATTGCCCTCGCGCGCTGCAAAAAGGTTAGTTTCTCATTAATTATCATTATTAGCATGCTTATTGTCTAAATACATGATAAGTAAATAAGTAGAAATCATGACAATAATAATAAGATTATAAATTAATATATCTTTCTGTAATACGAAGTCATAATCAATCAAAAGTTAAAGTAAAACTACTTGGGCTAATTGAGATTTGAGTGTATATGGAATAGTCGTTTTTTTTAATTTATAAGATATTTATTAAATATATTTCATAACCTTGCGTTAAAACAATACTATTGTAAGTCTCTCTCCAAAAAAATAAAGACAAAGATTCAATAAGCATACTGACTGACACTAAAACTACCGAACGATAACTAAAACTAACCTCATTTGGGTTTTTACAAGAAAGAAGATAAATTTATTGTCCATTAACGATGTTTATGTTATGAATGACGTGCTTATTCTACTTCGATGACGTATATACCTACATAAAGATACAACGTTACAATAAAACCGTGTCATTGTGGTCAGTGTTGCTTGCAAAGCAAAGAGTATAAGTATATGCTGCGAAGTTTGCTCATAAAGAAGATATATAGTGGATTTACTGTTCTCAAGTTCGAGTTAATAAACGTTCGAAGAAGTAAAATACATAAAATAATACCATTATTAGAAAAAGACAGATATATGCCCTATTATGACGTTAACCTAGAGCGTAGTAATGCTTATGGTTAACGTAGATTAAAACATAGAATTTACATATTCCATTCCCACCACATTACTTATAAAACGAATAATAACAAAATTCATTGTCTCGCTTTTTTCTTGTTATTATTAACAATCTATATAAAATCAGAGACTTACATTTCTGTCTGTCTTATCTATAACAATGGCAATCATTTAAAAAATATTTAAACTCAACGTTTTAATTACCTTATTATTTTATCAAACCTCAATGATGTGTAATGTAATGTCAGTAGAAGTATTATCACTTTATGACAATAACAATAAATACTACTTTTTTTTTATTCTCTGATTTTACTTACTATTCATATTTTCCATCTATTGTGACTTTTGATTTAGACATGGCACTACCATTTTTATAAGTAGCGCCCTATACAATCAAAATTTAAGTGCAAAGTTCAACCTGTGATTTACGAGTACCAACATCCTCGAAAATATGTATTATATATTACTCGTACTTATACTATAGGTACTTATGATTTCTTTAAACCTATCCATAGAATAAAGTAACATTTCATAAAATAAGTAAATCAGTTACTAAGTCTTTCCAGAAATAAATACTTAAAATTATTGCATTCATAATTTAAAAATATATGTAGTACTAAAACTTTAGCCTTCTCTAGATTAATAACATCAATATTACAGATAATTTTGCGTAAATAGCACTCTTGAATACGTGATTTTTTTCCGTTACCTTTTGCTTATTAATTTCCTGATTCATCTGCAGGTTCGCAACGCAACGGCGATTTTCATTATAAACTTATCATGCTCGGACCTCCTCTTCGGTGCCTTCAACTTACCGCTGGCCGCGTCCACGTTCTGGAACCGATCCTGGATTCACGGCAGGTTACTCTGCAAGATGTTTCCGCTAGCAAGATATGCACTCGTTGCCGTCTCGCTCTTCACTGTTCTAGCAATCACCATTAATAGATACATTATGATTTCCAAGCCAAGATTATATCCCAAGTGAGTATTTCTTATCTAAATAGAAATCCATAATGTAAAATTAACTTACTCGTAGAATTGATGATGTACTTCAAAATTCTATGAAAATCATGAAGAAAAGACAAGAGAGATGAGGATGCATACATGACAATCTTGAAGAAAATTTATCTTATGCTACGAAATAATAATTAATATGGTCAAACAAAATCAACGATTATTTTCCTTAGTAGATAGATTTAAAATTAAAGTATGATAGTGATAGAAAACATAAAGTAGATTTTTTAAATTATATTCTATACAAGTCTTTCCACGATTCATTATTAAGCAGTAATAATAATAATAATTCTATAACAAATAAATTACAATCAAATGATTTAATATTACAAAAAGGAAAGATTCGTTATTTTAAGAGGCTCCAAAATATATTCAACTTATTTCAAAAATTCTTTCACCCACTAGAAGCTACATCATACGCAGGCAACATATACTATAATTTATGTGGGTGAAATCACGGTAAAACAGCTAGAAATATGCAACCGTGAAAACTTAAGCTAATGTTGAGATTGAAATACAAATGTACATAAAAATCTACTGATGAATCTCATATAAACAAAAATAAATATTCATTTGCTTTCAATATCTTTTCTACTTAAAAATTATGTCATAATTTACAAGAAATTCCTAAACTGATATTAAAATTATAGAAACAAAAAAATAATCATTTGTTTTTTTTGCAGGCTATATAAGAAAAAGTATTTACCCATCATGATCATAATGTTGTGGGCCTTTTCTTTTGGAGCATTAATCGCTACATGGTTCGAGAAATGGGGCCGTTTCGGATTAGATCCAGTTGTTGGATCATGTACCATTATTCCAGATGTAAACAACAAATCTCCGAAGAAATTTCTTTTCATAGGAGCCTTTCTGATACCGGGCATAGCTATAATATTTTGCTATGCTCGAATATTTTGGATTGTAAAAAAAGTCGCTAAAAGATCACGCCCTACTATGAGGATGAGGCCAAAAACAGAAGTTCTTATCAGAGATAGCGTTGAACTAACACCCGATAATGTTGCCGGAAATAGAACAAACCATATATCTTTACAACCGAAACGAAATCCCAACTATGCTCTCAATTGTTTGGCGATTCCAGAAATTTCTTCAACATCCGGCATTGATACAGAAGAACGCGATAAAAGAATAACCGATGGGGACAGGCACCTATCGAGAAGTAGTGAAGCGATTCAGAAACTTAGAGTAGCGTTTACACCAGCACAACGCCAACCGAAAACTCCAAAACTACTCCCATCGAAGAAAGATAAAAAACTGCGTACCATGATTATGGCAATAATGATATCCTTTGTGGCTTGCCATCTACCGATATCGGTGATAAAAATATTTCTCGAGTTCAGCATTAATCCTTACGTGAACATGGCGAGCTATGTTCTTTTGTACTTCACGACATGTATTAACCCAATAATTTATGTGGTTATGTCGAGTGAATACAGGCAGGCGTACAAAAACTTGATGACGTGTCAACGTATCGAAAAAGACTTTCCAGAGAGCACAGTCCTAGGGAGGATGACCAGCATGAAAGCGATGGCATCTGTTCGACGTTCTATTAGAAAATTTCATTCGGTGAATACCCGATCACCTACATAACGGTGTATGAGTGTTTGTGATTGTGTGACTCAGAATAAATTCACGTAATTCGTGGAAACAGTGGCAACCGTCCGTATTTGTTAAAAGAATTGAGAGGCGTACGGTGAATGGTTTATGATTGATACGCGCTGCTTGCAACTTGTGTAAATATTAGTTTAACGAAAACCGCAGAAAAAGTCATGTTAGTGTTAAGGATAATTTTTAATATGTTAGTGAATGTTAAATTGAGTAGGTAATAAAAGAATTTATGATATTGTCAAAGAAGTGACATGAAGCATTGAAATTTTACCAAAGCCTAGAATCATAATTGTTCTACGTACAAACTTGTGTAGAAAAACCGGTTTTTAACATATTTTATTTTATATATATATTGCCTTGTAATAAATATACCATTTGTTTTTCTTTTAATAGTTTCAGATCTTTTTTTATAATACATTAAACAAGTATATTGAAGTGAATGATGTCAGACAGAGCACTTTATTAACTGCGGATATATTTTATAACTCGTTACCTCTATAGTTTTAACATATACTCATAGTTATGAAATATACGTTATATTATAGTTAATAAATAAATGAGAAAATAGAGGAAGTAAATGAGCAACCAAATATGATATTATTAATATATAAACAATTTCGACGGTATCAGATTTTGAAGAAATTTTTATAAACTAAAACTTTACTTATACTCTTTTAATCTCTTTCTGATACTCTTTTAATCTCAAGAGTATCAGTTGTCTGTTCTATTTATAGTACCCTAAATGGATCATGACCAACCCACCACTAAATCATTTCATATGTTAGTGAGGTATAACATCTGGGTATTGCATATCGAAAAAGTGTAGCTGGTTTGCTGATTTCCATACTTGTCACGCCATTCTCCTATTTTACTGTGTATTATGGAGAATAGACATCCAACTTTTTAAACCAAACACATTATCATTTTTGCTATAAACAATTTCATAATTACTTTAATAATTTCTGTTTTTAATATTAATATATATTTCTTATTCCACAGTAATAACTGCTATTATTTATATATTGGCTTCAGCTAGCATTTGAAACAATTGATATTTCTCGGGTTCGTTTACAGCAGACATTTTCTATGTGTCTTCAAAACTATTAACTTTAACAACTGGAACAATGATTTCTGTCCCCTTATTCTAAAAATGTTTCTTAATAAAACTAAAAGATACCGCTAAATGGAACAAAATTAATTATTATTATACAAAATATTTCGTAATACGAAGTATATTATTATATGCTATATCAATGTGTGATATTAATTGTATATAAGATGAATGTCAAAGACATACAAGTTTCGGAATGCTGTTATTGAATCGAAGAAGGTGCTGTTTAAAATCATTTCTTCTATTGGATATACCTCTAAAAGTACCCTTTTGTGACATGTTGCAGATAGCATGTTAATATGTATGTGAGGACATGACATTGTACAATTTTATTTCAATACTGGTAAAGTTCAAGATATGATACTCTTGTCAACCTTTTTGCGGATACTTTTATAAGATTTGGCAAATTAATTTGATATTTAATTAAATTTTTATTTTGTTAATGTTATAAAAATAATGTACTGTAATCAATGGCAGATAAGGTTATCCAAAATTGTTAGTATTATCCAATAAATATTAAACTTTAATAAATTTAATGTTAAATAATCCACTTTGTCTCTAGCACCCTGAGATTCGAACCCACGATCTGATATAATGCAAAAGGGTACTCTAGTAAATAAATACGTGCAATGTTGGCATCTATAAGATTTTATTTGTAAACGAGTTAGCCTAACTATGCGTTTTTATACTAACGAAATAGTTATGACAAAAATATGTTGTGTACTATTTTGCCCACCTATTAATTTTTCTAATATTGCTTTCTTAGTCACATACACTAGTGCAAATTAAATACTGCAGGTATAGGAACACTTATTAAGCGTGGATAAGACGTTGTTAACAATTTCTTTGTCATCCAATCATAGAACGAAGACGATTACCCTCACTTCATTTGACTCCAATACACACTCACCATCATCATTATCAACCTATTAAGCCCCTTCCCTATGGACGGAAACGAATCCACGAGTCAATCAATAATAATCCAAAACGACATGGACCCAGTGCGGATTGGTGGTTGTTAAGAAATGCAACCGGGACCAACTACTTAACGTGCCTTTAAAAGCGCGTAAGAGTTCGAGATAACATATGTTCGGTCACCCATCCTATCACTGGTTCTATAACTTATGCATGGCGCGCTAACAACTATGGAATCGAGCACCTCCATCATATGCAGTTATCTCTAAGAAAACTAAGAACGACAAGGCACAGTCTACTTAGATATATTTTGCTCTATTGACTCAATTCAAAAATATTTTGTCCTAATTATTTCGTTAGATAAATTTTACGTCAAACATCAATAAACCAATGTGTGTCTGGTTTACGCTTAGGCCATTCCATTGTAACTATTTAAACTTTTTAAATTAATTTAGGCACTAACATAATATTTTATACGATACTCATAGTTAAATTAAGGTTTAACCGAAGATTTCCAAAGATGTGTCGTTTATAAGTGTGTAATATTAAATAATACATGTTAATATCTAAAGAATTGCTGTCAACAAATTAATTCATTAGTGAACGTTCAAATTAAGTATTATATAATTTAAAGGTCGTTACAAAATTACCCGTATTGCTCTCCTAATCGGCTCAAGATTGTAAACTCAAACGATGTGATTTTTGTCTTGCAAAAAAAAATTGTCGTGCGATGATTTAAAAGATGCCCTAATTAATCGCACGATTCCATCATACAATACTCTAAAAGTTAGAGTTACACTCGCCGCCCTAATCTCCTCGTGTTACAGTGTTCGTGCGAAGATGCGTAATCAATTAGTAAACTCAGAAAAATATAATTAACTTTGATCGCACGATCACGGATTGAATCTTACATTCGTTCAATCCAACAATTATTAAAGTATTGCACTTCTGACCGCTTCGGAATTCCAATAAGGATACGCTAAAAAGATTTTTGTGTTTAATCTCGTCGTACGACGAAATCGCATCGTTTGCTTGTACGATTGTAACGTAACGAATTAGGAGCATGTCTACAACTCATCACATAAAGATAAAATAATAATTAGCGCTGTTATTTATTGTACGTTACTATATCGTTCTAGAAACAATCTCAAATGATATTTGTTAAACATTATTTGTATTTACCATAACCGCACTTTAAACACGTTTGAGATTTAAAGGGTATTTTTGTAACGGTTTATATAAAGAAAACCTACTCGACTAAAAACTATAACTTAATTATTTTGCAAAATTGTACAGTAAAACAAATCCTGCTAACTATTCTTTTATTTATTTAATATATTTTAAATAATATGACACCAATAAAATGTATGAAATGATTAAATAATTAATATTTGTTTGTCCTATTGTAATGGTATAAGTCAAACACCACTATATTATTGTAAGAACTCTCTTTAAGATAAGTGTTTGTTAATGTATTACTTAATTAAAGTTTTTTAAATGTTACATTAATAAGAGGTAAACAGTAAAGACCGATCATAGTTCATTTAAGTATCGTTACAATGATAAATGAACTAATACAAAACAAATAAATGGTTAAACTCAATAATTTTAATAACAACAAATTGAAAATAAAATTATTGAAGATATTATAAACTCATAATTCAAGCTTTGCCAGAATAACTAACTCCGTAACAGGGGTAATATGCACTTTAGTGACTTGTGCTTAGGCAGAGTTTTTATTAGCCACTGCTCGTCAGTAAATGAACTTATTGTATTGTATGTGGTCAATAGATGTATATATTTCTTTCAAACTATATGATATGCACCCGATCAAACAAAATATCAATTATATTCATCTATTTTAATTTTTAAATAAATTGTGACACCAAAAAGATCGTATGAAAAAATACTTTTGATGTGCCTTCTTTTTAAAATACGTTCCCAAATTCAAAATTGTATTTTTCATGTAATCTCTCCGCTCATGTTTATTATTACACATTTATTTTTGGTCGGCGTCGTGCAAAGTTGTATTATGCAATGTATGTAATAATATTTCAGAAGTAAAAAAACATGTTATACCAAAGACCAATCTCCTGGGGCCATTGAAACCCTCAAGCCATTGTACTTACCAAAGATAAACTGATAATAAAATAAATTGAAATGTTCCAATCTAAATTGTTTTTAATATCACGCTTGTCCTGTTAATGAAGTTTTAGTTAATTATAACGAAATATCTGATAAAATAAAGTAAACAAAAAGTTGCCGAAAGCCTCTTTAGGACTATAGTTTCCATGAAAAAGTAAACACAAAAATATGAAGAGTATTTAAAAATCATATAAATGACGAAACTCTCGTGACTACAAAGGCTTTCCAAAGCTTGATATTTCAGTATGTGAAAGTACTATACATCACTGATACCCGTTTTCACTAACCGGGAATAAGGCATAGCTTAATTAGGAAATGCATAATCTTACGAATCGCCTAAGCAGATAAGTTTTTTATATTTGACTAATTTTTTATTCACAATGCTATACTGGAAAATATTTCTTGGTTACGGGATGGGTGACCAAAAAATTATTATATCGAGCTACTTCGTGCTTCGGAAGGCACGTTAAGCCGTTGACCCCGGTTGCATTTGCAGTCGTTAATACCCTCCAATCCGCATTGGGCCAGTGTGGAGGGTCATGGCCCATCCTCCTTAACCATCCATAAGGAAGGACTGAGCCCCTGCAGTGGGGACGTAAAAGGGCTGGTGATGATGATGATGTTGAATATTATAAAGCTGTAGAGTTTGTTTGTTTGTTTGAACGCGCTAATCTCAGGAACTACTGGTTCGAATTGAAAAATTATTTTTGTGTTGAATAGACCATTTATCGAGGAAGGCTTTAAGCTATATAACATCACGCTGCAACTATTAGGAGCGAAGAAATAATGGAAAACGCGGACGAAGTCGCCGGAGGCCACTCCAGTCTTTCGATACAGATGAAAATTTACTCTAATAATCGTTACAATTGATCCATTTTGTATTCACAAACCTATTCCAGTAGAAAATGCGTAAAAAACCTACTTTGTCCCTGTTAATTACTACCTTTCGCAATCCGGACTACTTAGGTCCTGGGTATTTATTTCTGGGATTTTTTACGTTTACGCGTTCACTAGTGAGTATGTTAAGATTTTGTATGTAGATTTGTAGTTCTTGGTAGTCACCGCTAGGGG